TATATATATATATATATACCATCCTGTCGCGGATAGTGGTTGGGGCCTGGCCACGGCACAGCAGCCGCCTGGTCACACCAAGGAGGGTGCTTGGGATGTGCATCGGTTGCTACAGCTAATTGGGTAGTTGTCAGAATGATGGTCCCTTTTGGGATACCCTAAATGATAGGTGCCGTATTATAAAAGGGACCATCATTTTGACAACCACCTAATTCCGAACACTTGCTGTTGTTGCCAGTGGTACTATTCAACTGTTCCTCTTGTGGCTGCCAGGTTTGCTGTTGTACTTTGCGACGCTAGCGTCTAGCCCTTGCTCTTGCACCGGTCGTGTTGAAGGAAGCATTGACATGGATTGGCAGTGCGCAGCATGATATGCGTGTTTGGGAGGGAGGAGCCTTCAAACCATCCAACGGAAACCTGCAACACACAAAACATTGTATTCCTGAATAAAGACCTTGCAAAGGCACCTGGTGATGCCGCGGCGACGATCCGGCGACCGACGACTAGGCCGGCTGCGCCAGCGGGCATCTGCCCTGATCCGCGACTTGGGAATTTCAAAATTCTTGTCCTCGCGCTCCACGACTCCAGCCCAGAAATCAGAAATTTAGAATCTCTCCACTGAGATCTGGCTTGCCGGCTCCTAAAAGGCCAAACCCTGACCTTAAACTCCACTCCTGTTTCAAGCTTTCTCCAAGGAGAACTGCCCGAAGTTATGCTTGGCAACGATTGTAGGACGAATTGAGCTTCTTTCCAGGCTGCTGGCAACTGCCAGATGCCGCAACTCAAGGAACACAAACCGTCTAGAAAGTGTGTGAAAGTACCTGAAACAACACCGGATAAATCCGCAAAGCCGAGAGGAAAAATGGCATCACACACATTCACATATGTGTCTAATCTGGAAATGACGCACAATTTCGTGCTTCGATGGCGTCTGTGTAAGACCCTAAACCTCATTTTGCATCCAGGCCTGGCTGCGTATTCGCTGTTGACTATGTATAACCTGAAGACTCTGGACAAGAAAAACTCAGCGCCTCCCAAACCTGCTGCGACGTCCACGAAGGCACCGGTCAAAGCCGCCTCAGCCGCTTTAGTTCAGCGGTCGTCGAAGGTTTCGGGTGCTGAGGTTTGGGCTTTGGGTTCAGCGCGTCGTGTGTCAGCAGGCCTTTGATGCTTTCAGATGATGGGCTTCAGCAACCAGAATCCGATTGTGGTGCTGAGGATACAAGGACGTACACCAACGTGGCTTCCTCATGCTTCCCCTCCTGTGTGCTTCCAAATCGGTGACAAGAGCTTCCTATATCCTCAATAAGCGACTGTCTGGGAAGGATGCCACAGCAGCACAACGAGCATTATCACTTCGCCTCAAAAGCACAGGGCCGAGCATCAT